GTCACTCTGCCAGAGGAGAAATGTGACAGATACCGGCACATCCACAGGCTGAGATGAATGCCTGTCATTTGTTTCCAGGTTTCTCCTTCTCTCAAAGGGTATGTGATACAACCACGATGCAGACAAGTGAAGCATCGAAAATCCATCACACCACTGAACAGTATCACAGCATGAATGGATGGCATTAAAAATCGCCTTTAAGCCCTGGCCGGTTTGGCTCAGCGGTTAGAGCGTTGGCCTGCGGTCCAGAGAGATCCGGGTTCGGTTCCTGCTAAGGGCACTTACTTTAGTTGTAGTTTGTCCCCAGCCCTGGTTGGGTCGTGCGGGTGGCAGCCACTCGATGTGTCCCTTTCACGTTGATGTTTCTCTCTCTCTCTCTCTCTCTCTCCCTCGCTCTCCCTCCCACTCTATCTGAACAAAAAATGAAAGGATGTCCTCGGGTGAGGATAAAGAAAAAAATCGCCTTTAAGTTAGTGGGACGACTGCCACTAATGGGCGGGGATGAAAAACGGAGCTACTGAGCACTGAAGACAGAATAGCTCCATGCGGAACCTGACACCGCAGTCCACTCCCATTGCGCTCTTCTTTGTAATAACGGGTTCTTTTAGTCACAGAATCCATCCATTAATTAAACCACTTCCTCGTCTCGTTGCCAGATGGGTACATTTCCTAAGGTTACAATGGAAACATGGTTCTATGTCCTCAAGATGCTGGCATTCTTCACTCTTCAGCCCCTGCCTTGTCCTGGGGAAACGTCACACGCACTCATATAGCTTCAGCCACTGCCTAGATGCAAACACGTCCAAATCCTTCTTCCCAGCACAGTCTCTCTTGAGTGGAAAGCCTAGAACTCTGGCCGTGCCGTGTGTACTCATCCCCAGTGGACCCCAAACTGACTGTCTCCACCCGACCCTGCCCAGTGCTCCTGAATTTCCTTAGTTGGTCGTAACCGTCTACCCACCAGCAGTCCAGCCGAGAACCTGGGTCTTCAGTCCTCACGCACAGTCATCAAGTCCTATCAGCCACAAGTTTATGCGTCTTAACTCTACCCCTTTTCTCCATCACACCTGCTGCTGCCTTACATGATTCCACCTGGATTACCATTACCTCTCTCCTGTGGGAGTCTGCTAGATAGCTCTCCATCTCAGCTCTTATCGATTAACCAGACCATAAACATTGCTTATTTGTATGTCTCCTCAAATACCCCATGCGTTCCTTGAGGACAAACAAGACATGCTGTCGCCTTTTATTATCTCTTAGCATAGTATCTTACTAGGACTATATATGCTTAATCAACATTTCATCATTGGATAAATACCTCCTGGACTATCAGACCCCAAGATGTCAGCCATTTCAGGAAATGAGATGGATACACCAACAAAATTCCTGCTCGCCAACCCTGATCCCGTTCCAGCTAAGTCTGTGAAGTCATGGACTGGTCACCGGGTGAAGTCTGTCCCCCCTTTGTTTGTCTGGCTCTCGTGTGAGGTGTCCTCTTTTTCCTCCCTTCAAAGCCCATTCTTAGTAAGAGAGGTCATCTCTGCTTTGGATCCCCCCCGCTATGTGCAGCTAAGGGCTGTCTCGCTAATCGTGGACAGAACCTCTGGTGCCACTCAAGAACTAGCAGGCTTTGGCCATGTGTTATATATGAAGGACAGCAGGGTGGGAGGGAGGGAGAGGGTTCGAGGGAGAAGTTCTGGCTGGCCCTGAACTCACTCAGCCACCCCTAACCAAGGGCCGTGTGTCAGCAAGAGGTCCTCAGCCCTACTCGCTGTCTGACCCTGACACTGGAGATGTAACAGGAAGAAATCAGAGGTGCTGCTTCAGCTCAGCTGCAGCCAGGGCCCCAGGGGTAGGCGGGAGACAGCACTCTTCAGGGGAAGACTCCTGTTTCTGGGAACCCGTCCTGGGGGACTTACAGAGGGACCCTGGGGACATTCAGGGTCCTGACCTGGCAGTGAGGGAGAAGGAGACTGTCCCCGGGCGGAGGGGACAAGGAGCTCGCAGCCAGAGGAAGCCCTGCACGACAGTGGCAGACGAGGCTCTGAGGAGGGTGAGAAAAGGCCCTGGTCTGCGCTGTCTACACAGCCTTTCTGTACACAGAGCTGCTCTAAAATGTCCAGTCTATTGCTTTTCAGAAGGAAAGAGAGAAACAGTCCTGGCCTGTCTCCAGAAACATCTTGCTCTGGAGATGTCCTGGGAATACGAGGGCAGTTGTTGCCTGAGCTGCGCTGAGCTTCCCTCCATTGTCCCAAATCGTCAGTCAGATCCACGGGGGACAGCTGCCTTGTGTTGGTGGCACTTCGGGGAAGTGAGGGAGAGGAATCGTGTCCAGGGTGGGGTGAAGCAATGCAGAAGGCTAGCACTCACAAAGGGGGGACCAGTAACAGCTGCACCGGCAAGAGTATGGGGCAAACCTCGGGGACTCCCCAGAACGGTGCGGTCCGATAGGGTAGCCACCAATGTGGCGTCTGGCCTTGAAAGGTGGCAGTCGGGATAAAGATGTGTTATTAAGCTAGTATGAAAAATGCTAACGCATATCAAATACCTCAGTACTTTTTATATGGATGACACGTGGGAATGACAATGTTTTGGGTGTAGGAGGATAAATAAAATGCACTATGAAAGCCAACTTTTGTTTTACCTTTTCTTCCTTTTTACCTATTTTTTAAAAAAATTTTCCCTTTATTAATTTTAGAGAGAGAGAGGAAGGGAGAGAGACAGACAGAGATAGAAACATCGATGAGAAAGAACATCGACTGGCTGCCTCCTGCATGCCCCCCACTGGGGATCTGGCCCACAACCTGGGCATGTGCCCTGACCGGCAATCGAACCAGTGACCTCTTGATGCAGGGGTCGATGCTCAACCACTGAGCCACACCAGCCGGGCCTTTTTACCTTTTTAATATAGCTATTAGAAATTTAAAAATTACATATAGGCTCACATATTTCTACTGGACAACACTACTCTAGCATCTTGGGGAAAAGGCATAAACTTGCTAGAATATAAGGTGGGAGGAGCTTAAACCACTTTCTTTGGATATTAAAGACAAGGGCGGGCCCAGAAAGCTGGTGACACAGGACACAGGCGCGGACAGATGAAGTCAGAGAAAACACACACTTCAGAGTAGATGACATTTACTTTAGTAAAGTTTTGTTAAATTAAAGACAATTCCTACAAATAGAAAGTGCTGTCCAAATACAATGCAACTGATACTGAAATTCAACTTCTCAGAAACATATTGATAGCATGAAACAAAGTGTATGGTACAACTTTCCAACATAAATAACTTACGTTCGGTCCTCAAATCTAGAGTGGAAGAGAAGAGAAACAAGGGAGCATCCACCCCCGGGGATAAGCAAGCATGTCTCCTAACACCTTGATGCATCGAACAGTGACTACCCAGACCTGGGACAGATGCCTTGCACCTTCCACTAATACAGCTGGTGGTGTTTCATACCGCCTCGAGCCCTCGAGACATGTCCCAGGAAATTTATGAGCCGAAAAAAGAAAACAAGATAAAATGCTTGACTCTAAGGTCGCTAAACTGGATGTAACCAGAAAACGTTTTTCTCTGACACGCTGCCGAAGAGGCTCCAATCCGGCACCTCTGGTCTGTACCCCACACACAGACGGTTACGTGTACATGGAACCAGCGAACGCCAGACCTGGGGCGATTTCAGTGTCCCACGGCCTAGTCTTTTTATTTTACGGACGAGAACGTGGAGCCACAGAGAGACAGGGCTGCTTTCGTGGCCAGGGCGGGACCCAGGCCGCACAGAGCGGCAGCAGTCGGCACCTGGGTGTGGCGCTGGTGTGTTCGGATGACCCACTGGGCTGCCTGCGACCTGGGGGCTTAGCGTGCTTACTCGTAGGGGTTTTCAGGAGGATCAAAGGCTCCCCCTCTAGAGGCGCACCGTGGCCTTGCGTGGTCGAGGTCATGTTCAGTGGGGGCTGAGCCCGTGCCCCTCCCCTCGCATCTTCTCACCTGAGCTACGTGCTTTCTCCGGAGAAGTGGATGCTCCGGGAAAGAACAGCTGTGCACCTCAGGGAAGCCCCACCCTTCCTTTCTTCATGTACTTGAGGGTCCTAGGCAGCCTGGGGTCCACCTGACAGGCCCCTGGCCACGGTGGAGAGCTTAAGATGGCAACGCAGAGCCTGTACCCTAAGAGACCTAAAACAGAACACGGTTTCCAGGGGTGACGGTGGGGACCATGTGCAGAACGCAGAGTGACGCCCCAGGGCAGGCTCGTGGTCTCAGCCCTCTTCTCTCTCTCCGCCTACGTCCCTCAACCCCAGCCCCAGCCACCCAAACATGCCTTCCGCTCAGGTGACCAATTTCTCAAATAAGCTCAGAGAAACAACGCTCTTTCTCCCCACTCAGCCCGGCCTGGGTCCGGAATGACAGGTCAGCATGTTCGATACCGAGATGCCAGCAGTTCCAAGCCCCCAAAGGGAGGCCTGTTAATGGAAATCGACCTCAGACGGGCAGCTTCCTGGATGGGATGCATTTTTCCGCTTGGAGGCCTTCCAAGTGTTTTTGCTTAATTCTCACTTCTCAACACACACACACACACACACACACACACACACAGGAGCCAGTGACTCAGCGCTCCAACCTCCCAGTGCCCAGCCCTTCTATAAAGAATGGCTGTTGGGACAAAGTTACTTTGTGGTAGGGGTCCTCCATTTCATAGAAAAAGAAACAAAAGGTACAAATCACAAAACTGCCTTTTCACTGTTCCTCTACAAACAGTGCCTCCTCCCAGGATCAGGCAGGTCAGTGAGCCCCCAAAGGCCTGTGTATCCCCGGTCTTGGTGGGACCCAGGTTCCCTCTTGAGTCTAATCCAATCCCAAACTAGGGAAGGGAAGTGATCCCTGGGCTTCTGAGCATGCTCACTATCAGCCGACCACTTGGTGTGGAATTAGGGGGCGGCCGGACCCCAAGGCAAGCACTGACAGCCATGGCGCAAAGCCAGGAAGCTGGAGGGACCATACCTTTGCAGGTGAAACATTTGATGTGGAAATGTTTGGTCTGGACCCGGAGCACTTCGCCCTTGCATGGTTCCCCACACTTATGGCAGTGGATGACGGGCTTCTCGGAGGAGTGGTGAGGGTCCTGAGCGTGGGCCACTGGAGAAAAAGGAAAAGGTCTACGTGAGCAGGAAGCATTCTTACGCAAGGGGTCATTATGGGCATGCGTAAATATCCCCCAGCTTCGGTCTCAAATGAGCCACATATGAATTCCTAAGAGTGCACTGAGCCCCTCCCCCCAAAGCCAGAATCACGGGGATCCACACATTCGGGGAGAAGGCTGTGGCTGTCACAGCCCAGCAGGGGAAACACTGGGCTCGGTCCCCTGGGAATCAGCAGTTCCTTCTTCCTTCCAGCTTCCCGAGGACGACGCCACTGGGTCATCCGACACATGCTCTTGTTTGGGTCACTGTTTTATACTATGCCTTTAAAGTCACTGCGCTGTACATTCCTTGAGGATGGGGACCATTTCTTAAATTCATATTTTCCTGCCCACTGTACCCCCAGCTCCCGAGAACGCGGCGGAGTGCCCACGCACCGAACGGGTCAGTGAATGTGCATCTACTTGGAGTGCGCTGGCTGGTTCTCCGCTCCACCAGTCCTGCCTGAGGGGCCTGGCAACTGATTCCTTCTGGGCTCCCATGAGCCTCCTAACGTGCAGTTCCTCATTCCCCCTGCACACGGTCATTTCAGCAAAATAAATCCGCAGCCCGCTGCCCCTCTCTGAACCTCAGTTTCCCCTCCTGCAGAACAAAGGGGTTGGACCAGATGATTGCAAAGGTCTTTTCAGGCTCTAAGATCATGTGACGGGGCTACAGAGACGGTTCTCTCAGCTTCCAGAGTGTGGCCGGCCAAGCATAGGGCCCCTGCCCTGCCCGGGGACAGGACTCACAGCCCCTCCTTCCCAAAGGGCCGAGAGACGCCAGGGAGAGGACACTGCGGCCCAGGGTCCTCGATCCACGTGCGTGTCTCCAGCCAGAGAGGGCAGCGGCACCCCCCGCCCCCGCTCAGTTCCTTTTCTGAGTTGGGGCCTCAGAAGGAAGAGCGGGGGATACAGAAAACGTGTTACATAAGCAGCTGTGCGAGCTATGGGACAGAACAATGAACCTAAAATTAATCAACCAACACAAAGAACAAAGACGATTTTTTCCCCCCTCAAACAGTAACACCGGGTTGGACGGGGGGAGATGTGGGCAGATATTTCTGAAACTCGATTTAGAACAGCACCTAGAGCCAGGAGCTCGCTGTCACCACGAGCATAATCGTGCACTGTTTGCCTCGGACCGCTCGGCGGTCTCGTTTCGCCTGGAAAGAGTTCGAACAGGACAGTCCAAGGGATCCATTATCAGCTAAGTTCTGAGAAACAAGGTTCTTCTTGTGAGACTGAGGGTAGGAGCAGGTGTCGATCTGGGCTGCACCCCATCTGAATTCTCTGCCCTGGACCCCGAGAGTGTCTGGCAGAGGTGCCGACACTGTGACACGTCTGCATTTCCCTCTCTACCAGCTGAGATTTCTTGGAAACTTGCGCTTACAACAGAAGCCAGTGTCATCGGAAGGAATTCAGGAGAGGCACCCTTTCAAGATGTCTCAACAACCACTGACTCTAAAAATGATGGGCAACAAGGCCCAAAATCTATGCAGCAAACATTAAAAATAATCTCTGTTAACAATATATACTTCTGGTGCTAGTGGAGAGTATGAGTTGCTCTTCTTAGCTAATTCCTGCTCCCCACAAGAATAGAGGAAACCAATATTTACTGAGCATCTACTACGTGCCAGGCACGGTGCTAGGTGCTTACGCATAAGTCATTTTATTACATCCCGTCTCTTTGCCCAAGAGGTGGGTACTATTGTTCCCATTTAACAGGTGAGAAAACAGAGTCCCAGAGAAGCTGAAGTGACAAGAAGTGGAAGCTCAAAGATCTACCCCAGGCCTTTCTGACTCACAAGCTCATGCTCGTCCCACCCTGCTCATCTGCCTCAGAGAGTGACTCTAAGTCGGGTGATGACTGTTGTAAGCCAGGCAGTCATTTACGTAGCTGAGCTCAAGCTCCAGTGCGCTTCTAAGAGCAGCAACCAGGACGCGGCTTACAAAGGGGGCAGACATGGTACGTGCGACAGTAACACTAGCTGGGCACGGTGCCCGCCTGGTGATCCTCACGGTGGCTTCCCCATCCCTCAGTCAGAGCCCCCGTGCCTGCCAGGGAGTGCAACGCAGATTCCTCAGCCCCGCCGAACGGAGTCGGGTCTGTGGTTTCCGTGAGATCCTCACGTGATTCTTACTCAGGCTACCATTTAAGAACCATTTCCCTTTAGAATTCAGACAACAGGCCCGAGCACGTGCCAGACGAGAGTGAGAGTGGAAGAGTAATCCACAAGACCACCCTCTTCAGAAACAGTGGACACAGTGGCTCCCAGATCACAAGGGAGAATGCATTTTTGGAAAAGAAACAACGCTGCCGTTTCTCTCGACACCTGCATTTTTTTCGCCCAGCAAGCAAGCCATGCTGAGTAATGATGGGGGAAGGAAAATGTCGCTTCACCTCTTGGCTCTTCCCTTGGTCTGAATGAAGGGGCCAGTGCTCTCGGGGGCACCGGCCGCAAAGGTCGGAATTGGGATCAGCACCTCCATTTTGCAAGCATTTCCCGTTGGAAATATAGATGACACTGCAAAGTCCTCCATGCCCAGAGATGACCTTTGTTTTCACCCAAGGACAGCAGAGACTCGGTTGTGTTCACTTGCCTTTCCATAAGCCTGGGCAGACACACATCAGAACAGAGATGGGCTGTCCTTATCAGGGAACGATGGACTCCAAAGACCGAGAGAGATGTGGTGTTCATTTCACCCCAACTCAAATCCGTGGATACAGAAGAATCTCTCTCCTTTTTAAAGATTAATACAGAGCTTCCTTTTACATAACAGCCTTTGGCAGTTGGGTTAATACCAAAAGTATGTTCCTTGGCTCCATTCTACATTTTTGAAATATGCTGAGTCAGGTGCGATACAGAGATGACATTAATTCCACACCCCTCTTATTTGCCAGCTGGCTCTGTTGCTCATTTTTACTTGCTCACTCCATCTTTCAGAGCCTGGGTGGTCCCTACGTAGTCTACTGATGGGGAAAGTGAGGAGCAAGGACCTTCCGTTTCCCCCCAAAGTCACCAGCGAGTTATTGGCAGAGGGACACTCAGCACGCAGACTTCCCGGCTCTTTGTACGAACCTAATAGTCAATGATTTACCCTGGAACTTGGGCAGGCACAGCTAAAACTTCCACGGTTCAACAGTTTGTTGCTAAAATAAGAGTAGCACAGTGACAAACCCAAAGCATGGCCGCACACTTTCTGAATAATAAGAAGATACGGATGAAGGGCCAAGAGGCTATTTACCTAAAAGGCAAAGCAAGTGCTGCAAGTCCTCCACCGTGTAACTGCCAGTTTGGAGGGACTCTGGCTACGCAGATGAAACAGCCTATCACGAGGCTGAGAAGTGTCACACTGTCTCTCACAGTCTTGCGAAGCAGTCACATCCCTGAAACTCCGGTGCAGGACAGGGACCCCTAAACTCCACTTTGGATGCATTACCTTTGAAATGCCTACTCGGTGATGCGACTGGGGGATCGAGACCATTAAGGAAATCCCAGTGACCTTCAGTGCCCCCAGGCAGAGACCATTGCAGGATGTAAAAGGGAGGCCACGAAGATTCGGCAGAGCCCTCTGTCTAACCCAGAACCAGCCTCTGTCCCAAGCTCCCTCCACGGGAGGGACAGACCATGGAGCTAGACCACCAGAAACAGAACATCTGAGAAAGCATATTTGAGATAAAAGTCTTCTTAGCAGGTGACTATCACAAACCAATGACAGTCCTCAGTATGAGTTGCAACTTACCCCAGGTTATCTGAAATATTCAGAATCTCCCAGGTATCAAATTCCCCTTCCCAAATGCCCTTCTCTCTCTCTATCGTCTCCCTCAGTCAGCCTTTGAAACCACGCCCGAGCGGTGCTTCATGGCCCGTCCGCATCTTCTCATTTAACCCTCACAAGAGTTCTGAGGTTGGAAGGACAGGGACTGCCATTCCCATTTTACAAATGGGCAAACGGAGACTCAGAGGAACAAAGTGATTCACCCAAAACATAAAGAGTTGGCAGGAAACTCATGCGGTGCTCGTCCCGCCCAGAGAATTCCCTAATCAATGACACCTGAACACCTGCACTCATCCTTGATTTCACCCTTCTTTTTATCTCCCACATCCCTTAGCCATCCCTTCCCCCACCACATGAATCCAGCCCCCAACCCCTCGTTCTTAGATTGTTGAGCGTTTCCTACCCTCTGGCTCCTTCTCCAACGCAACCTTCAAAGCGCAGTCCACTCCCCACCCCGTAAGTCCGGGCTGTGCTTGGTGACTTCTTTCCAATGAGAACGGTATGGAAAGGGGGGAAAGGTAACTTTACACTGGAGAAATCTGACAAACATGACCTCAGCTAGGTGCGCAAGGTCAACTTCAATAGTCATAATCAGGTTAACAGTATGCACCTTTCACACGATGTAATGAAAATTGGCTCTTTCCCTCTGTGCTATTTCTTCAAAAAAAAAAACCAAAAAAAAAAAACCACAAAAACAAAACAAAACCATAATCCTAGTCTAATCATGAGAAAATTCCCAAAGTGGAGGACATTCTACAAATACTGGAGCAGTACTCTCAAAATTGTCACGATCATCTCAACAAGGAGGAAAGTCCTCCTGTCACAGTCAAGAGGAGCCTAAGGTGACATGATGGACAAATGTCACGTGGCCTCCTGGATGGGATCCCAGAACAGAAAATGGACAGCAGGTAAAAACTAAGGAGTTGTGAGTCAAGTATGGGCTCCAGTTGGTAATGTGTCACTACTGGTTCATTAATTGTAAAAAAGCATTATGTTAATGTAAGCTGTATTAATATGGGAAGCTTGTTTTGGGGTACATGGACACAGCACTGTCTTCTCAAATGTATTCCAGAAATCTACAACTATTCTAACAACTCAAGTTTATTAAAATGAAAAGAAACAAATTCTCACGGCTCTCTGGGTCCTGATCCACAATCTGAAGCTCTCTGCCCAGCTC